TATTCAATAGTAAGAGAAACACTTGAGACCCTGCAATTGTGTGTAAATGTACAGAACTAAACAAAGAATTTATTTGAAATACTTTAACATTCAATACCATGACGACTGGACTAGTTACACAGACTTTTCCCTGTGATAAAGCCATAATCTTGAGTAGCATCTTACTGTACTCAAATGTTATTGAACTAAGATTCTTATCTCTTGTGCAAACTATGGGGTGTTTATACTCAAATTAATTGCTATCTTGCAAGGATTCCAGTAATGCAAAATATATTCTGCTAAGTCAAGTCTGTGATATTTTATAAGAGAAAACTTAAAGCCTTAAACTACCTTCACCCTCTAAATCCTTATTGCCTTCTGGCTGGGAGGAGGAGGTGAGGTGTTGATAGCCAGGCGGGGAAATTAACGCATTTGTAGTTGTCAGGGACTCAAGGATTATAAAAGTGATAGAATTTAAGTTTTTCACTTACAAAATGTTACTGACTTGACTTAGCAGATTATAACTTACATTGCTGGAATTAATGCAAGATAGTGATTAATTTCAGGATAAACATCCCATAGTTTGCACTAGACAAAAAATTTTTAGTAATTAACTTAGTACATTTGAGTACAGGTTATGATAAATTATGCAGTTGCTCAGCAGTTGTGGTTGCAGTTGCAAAGTTTCGTGACATAACTAGTGTATAATGCATCTCCATATGCCCTGGTTTATTACTAATCAGTTGTGTAAGTGCTAAAGTAGCTCTGTTGAGCCATCATGTATCAATTAATTTAAAAATAGAAATTATAAAGTAAAATGATATAAGACAATGGTTTAGTATTACTGTTAATGTGTGTGCTGTGAGTCTCTTGGCATGTCACCTCACCACTTGACTCAGTCACCTTACCTTTTGCTTTGTTAGCTCTGCTCAGAATTACATTGATTTATTACTGTATTATTTTACTTTTTAGTATTGTATGTACAGTGGTCCCTCGGTTAACAGGCGCCTCAGTTAACGAGATTTCGGTTAACGAGTTACCTTCCATAAGATTCTTAATTTCGGTTAATGAACAATCCCTCGATTAACGAATTTCTTCTGAGCCAACCACATGTTTTTGCTTGCATTTGGCGGTCCACCAGCTGTAGTATTAGTCTGCCAATACAGTAATCGGTTCTAGGGCTTAAATTCCTTACCCTTTTACTAAATATCAAGAAGTTTATACTATTCAATAATTTTAAAAGTTTAATATTAAATTTTTAATCATTTTAACAATTATTGAACATAATTGAAGGTAGGGTCACTAGTTTGTGGCATGCATCCAGCCTGCCAACACAGCATACAGGTGTCAGTCTTTGTGTCTTTTCAGTGGAGGTAACATCTTGCTTGAGACTCTCTTCAACTAAATTCTTTTTCTGTGTTTGCAAGCAAATTATTGGTCATTTTGAAATTTATTTTACATATTGACAATATATAATGCAGTGCAGTGTTGATTTAAAAGAAAATAATATTGAATTACACCAAGAGAACTAAAATTTTATGGGTGAAATGGCCATGGGGTGACTTCTCTTCCACCCTAATGCCTTCTCTTCTCCCTTCTCCTCCACCCCGATTCTAATTCCCATCATCATCATCCAGGAGCCTTCTACTTACACACCTCAAAGTAAGTGTACTTTTCTACCTTTTTGTTGAATTTAGGCAATTTTCGGTGAGCTGGAACCAATTACCCAAAAACCCATTGAAACAATGGTTTCGGTTAAGAAGTTTTTCGGTTAACGAGCAACCTTCTAGAACGGATTGTGCTCGTTAACCGAGGGACCACTGTACAGTACATTTAAAGAAATAATTGTATTTGTACAGTAATAATAAATGAACCCAGGGCTAGCCAAGTGGTTGGTCTTCCCACCCACACACCTACCATGTGAGGATGTGGCTAAACATGATAAAATCTTTCATAACACGGGACTCTTGTCCCCAGGCCCTGAGCAGAAAGGTTTGGAGTGATTTTCTCAATATTTTCTGGTAATTGCACATCACAGTATTTCATAATCGATATTTGCTCCTAGACCCAGAAATAAAAATTTGGACAGATTTTCCAGATTTTTTTTTCCAGAAAATGCTCCTGAATTTCAACCTCAGAATTTGTTCCCAAACCTGGAATTTTGGAAAATTTCTGGAAAAATTCTAAGCAAATTTAAATTCCAGTTGTTGGAGAGTTCCAGGTTTGAGGGATTCCAGCTAATGGAGATATTACTGTATTATTATTATTATTTGTTTTTATTTTTTTGCACATTCTGTATGTAGGATTGTGTGTGCATGTAACCGAGTAAAAAAAAAAAAAAATTGAAAAAGTTATGTATATGTACAGTCAACCCTCACTTTACGCTGTCCCACATTCCGCGTTTCCACGTTTACGAGGTACCCTGCCGGAACCCGGGATGCTCACATTCCGTGGTGGGTGTACCCCTTTACGCTGGTGAAGTATAATTTTTTTATTTAGCTCATAAAAATCATACAAATTATCCTGCCAGAATATAATTTACATTGCTGGAATTCTTACAATTTGATGATCATTTTGAATATAAGCATCATAGATTTTGCATTAGACATACAAATTTTAGATCTGATGCAAGTATTTTGTTTACTCAGAGCAAATATGTTATCTTTTGTGCAAAATATATGAAGTGTATATTCAAAATATTCCTGGTCTTGCAAGGAATCCAGCAATGTCAATTATATTATCCTAACTTTAATCTGAGGTATTATTTAATACTAAATGTTAAAATTTAGTTTTTTCACACAACATCTCTTGAAGGGAGGGTTGGTGGGGGGTGGGGGAGGGAGGGACGACCGACCATCTGGTGCAGTTGGAAGAGGGGGAGGCAAGGTGGGGTACTTTGATTGACAGATAGTGTCGTGAAGAATATTTTTTATTAACTGGAGATATTTGTTTTAGCTCATAAATTCATACAAATTACCCGGCCAGAATATAATTTACATTGCTGGAATTCTTACAATTTGATGATCATTTTGAATATAAACATCATAGATTTTGCATTAGACATATCAAATTTTAGATCTAATGTAAGTATTTTGTTTACTCTGAATTAAATATGTTATCTTTTGTGCAAAATATATGACATTTATATTCAAAATATTCCTGGTCTTACAAGGAATCAGCAATGTCAATTATATTATCTAACTTTAGTTTGAGGTATTATTTATTACTATACCTGGTTTCCCAAAAATTTCTCAGAGAGGGAAGAGCTAGCGAGTGTAGTGTGAGAAGAGGGGAGGTTGAGTCCATTATTTGAATGGACATTAACTGGCGACTGTATTTCTTATTTCTCTTAAGTAATTGTGTGCATGTACCATCATAAAATTAAGATGTTTATTTTACTAGAACATAGGTATTGTGTCAGAAAAAGTGGAGTTTGGGGGTCAGCCGGTCTCTATTTCATTTAATCCCATATGTTATGTTGTTCATTTTACGTGTTTCTCGCTTTACTTGGGCCTCCGTGGGTTCAATTGACCGCGTAAAGTGAGTGTTCACTGTACCTAAAATTATGAGTTGAAAAATAACCATAACATAACTCTTAGTTTGACCCAGTAACCTGGTGGTTACAGTGACAGTCTAACTTGGCTACAATGCCACCAGCGATGTTAACAGATGCAAATGTGAAAAGAAATTTATCTGTAAATCTTTATTTGTATCAAAATATTTGTAGATTTAAAGATAAATGTTGCAGGTATGACTGTAATACTGTACATAGTAACGCTTGTAAGAGTTCAGAAATGGTTACTGCTTCGTTGGGTGTCTGCTGTATGGAAGCTAATTATCTCAGTAATATACTGTACAGTGTACAGGAGTAGTTATAAATCCAGCTGTTATATTTATAATAATATTTTTTAATTAATTAAAAGTAATAATAATATATTTAACTAAGCAATAACATATTTTAATTCTGGAGTTGGGCTAAGTAGAATTTAGCCTACTGGAGACAGCAACTGGAGGATTCATTAGCCTATGGGAGATGGCAACTTCACATGAAGGATTCAAGCGAATGTTTTTGCCATTTTTCAGACAAAAAAAGTACTTACAGTATTATATGCCATAAAATAAGGTACAATTTTCCCTCCTTTATTAGATATTTCTCTTGTATCTGCTTGGCTGGCATCAATCCAAACTGCATGTTGTTTATGTCTGCTCTATCCCTTATCAATTACTCAATCACTCTTTCTACAACTTTCATAACCTGATCTAGCAGTTTCAGGCCCCTGTATTTCCTGTGCTGAAGTGTATCACCTTGTAAGTATTCACTATCACACTCTTCTTCCAGTTGTCTGAAACAGTGCATTCCATAATGATTGCATTAGTCAATTCGGTCACCATTGATATGACTACATTTCTTGATATTTTCAGCATTCTACAACTATACCAGAGCTTCCAGTTTGTAATGTGGGAGAGAAGGAGAGGCAGTGTTAATTCATGGGCTTCCACAGGGAGAGTCCTGTTTATTAGTCCTGGGCAGATTATTACAGTTCACACTACAAGGCGCGCCACCTACTAACCGACATGAGCTCGAAGCTGTAACAAACCCCTGGTTCATTACAATCTGATTTCGAGTCTGTAGTTGAGCACCATGATACTACACAGTGGCCTTTCCATTTTTCATTTTGACAAATACTTCCTTCACCATTCTCTTTCAATTTTTAACTTGAATATAGTGGCCTAGGGGCCACAGTTTCCCCACCCCTGCTGTACAGTATTTTGAGACCACTTGAAAAATTATTTCAGAATCAACCTTCCATTTTTATAAAGAGAAGAATTAAAAGTGTGATATTTGTCTTCCAGAAAAAGTATTTGTCAATATACCACTAATGGGTCAGGGAAAAATATTCAGTACTAATATATTTTATTTAACTTTGTTGAAAAAATACAACTACTGTACAGGTACTGTACAGTATTGCAATTTTTTATTTTGTAACCTTCCCTAAATTTTGTAATAATGTTAATTACAGGATCCTGTTTTGTTTAGTGGAACATTGCGCACCAATCTGGATCCTTTTGATATTTATGATGATGCCACCATTTGGCATGCACTCGAGTTGGCCCACCTTAGCTGTTATGTGCGTGCCCAGCCTCTCGGTCTTCAAAGTAATGTGGATGAAGGCGGCTCCAACCTTAGGTAAAGTATAATCTTTAGTTTTAATAAATATGAAAAAATATTGACTTTGAAATACAAAAGGTCTCATTTTTGTGGATGTGATATGTTTAGACCTTTGATGGACTCACTCCTAACAAGTGTCCAAATGATCGTCTGCAACAATGTGCCTAAAGTCTCAGTGAGGAAGGGTAGAAACAGGACATTTGACAAGATGAAAAATCACAATCTTTGGAGGTTCTGATATTTCAAGGTTAATTATTGTGTTGGGGTTGATGCAAAGATATTCGAATGCATACCAGAAATAGGTGACAAAAACTTATTTTTTCATATATTATATACTTGGGTTATTTTCCTGGAGCTCTTATCAATGATCCAGGTTTTTTTATGAAATAGAAAGATAATTATTTGGTAAAATTGACACTGAATTTCAAATTGAATTTAACATGTACATAGACAGTGCAGGTATACAATGTACATAATGCAGTAAGAGAAGCAATGTACAGTACACAAAAAGAACAGGTATACAAACTATGGTAAATAGTAAGTTAATTAGACCAAGGATTACTCGAGTAAGCCAGTAAGTAATCTCTCCTTTAGCCGGAATCTTCAATCCCCAGAACTGTTCAATAGCCGGATTTTTTTTCTTCTTTTAGAGCACTGAGAAATTTCAGGGAAAATCTCTCCATCCCGGTCATGGAAACGAATTTTCGAGGATTGCATCATGTGTATTCCAAGAAAATCCCTCTGTTCTGGGCATGGGAATGAATTTTCTGGAAGATCCGAGAGACTACATCGTGCTTCAACGCAGGGATACATGCCACGCGCATGGGTGGGCTAGCTGCTTAGGTAACTTAGGCCACAGGTTCATGTGATGCGATTGGCTGATGCATCTCCCAGCTTATCTCCTCAAACCTTAGCTTCATTACGTGCTTAGTTTATAGCCCACTACCATTGTACAAGATTGCTCCCTCACTCGCTGTTATTTTTGCATACAATCTGTATTTTGCAGTACATGTACTGTACATAACTGTATCAGGACACAGTCAGTCTAGAATACTGTACAGTGTTAAAGAAGTGTAGTCCAGGCTCGGCACTAAGCTTTCAAATATACTGTACTTTTGGGTGCCTGAAGTTTGACACTTGATTTGACTTATATGACCCTTAAGGTTTAGTAATAACACAGGTAGACTTTTGAGATAGTTCCCTGCTAAGGGCTAAATTTAAGACGGCCACCATTATAAATAGGAAAATTGTTAGCCGAGCCCCTGAAGATCCTGTTCTATAAATGCCTGGATGAACAAAAGGTCGCCAGTGATTGGAAAATGGCTTATGTGAGTTTATCTCCAAGAAGGGAGATCGTTACTCCATGAACAACTATAGACCGGTGAGCCTGACCAGCTTAGTATGTAAAGTACTAGAGAGCATCATCAGAGATGCCGCGATGGAACATCTACTACGAAACAATCTTGGAAAGGATTGCCAATACGGTTTTATGCTGGGGCGCTCCTGCTCAACACAATTGCTCAAGGTATTGGATATTTGGACCCATATTCTGGAACGGGGTGGTAATATCGACAATATATACCTAGATTTTGCCAAGCCTTTCGACAGTGTACCCCACGAAAGGCTGAAAATCAAACTGGAAGGGTACGGAATTCGGGGAAAAGTCCTAGCGTAGATAGAAGATTTTCTATATGACCGCTAGCAGTGTGTGGTGATTAATGGCATGAAATCATCATCTGTACCTGTCACAAGCGGGGTACCACAGGGCAGTGTATTGGGCCCGCTGTTGTTTGTTGGTTTCATAAATGACCAGCATGACACTGTACACTCGTCCATACAAATGTTTGCAGATGACGTCAAGCTATTTCAGGAAATCAAGAACCAAGCGGACTGTGAAGAGCTGCAGAAGGATCTCTGTGAGCTCTAAGAATGGTCGAAGAAATGGCTGCTGAGATTCAATGTCACGAAGTGTAAGAGGATGCACCTGGGGCATACCAACGGTAAGGAGGCGTATCATATGTCCCAGTGGGATGAAGAAACTGCACTATTTGAGACTGAATGTGAGAAGGACCTAGTTGTGTATGTTGACAATGAGCTGAAGTTCTCGGGCCATTGCGAGTTGAAGGTAAATCAGGCAAATAAATTATTGGGTCGTATAAGAAGGTCGTTCAGATATCTAGACGGTCAGTCCCTTGTAACGATCTTCAAGAGTGAAGTGCTTCCCCATCTGGAGTACTGTCACCCCGTCTGGTCCCCGAGATATGCTAGGGACTGTCAGTTGATTGAAAATGTTCAAAGGAGGTCCAACAAACTGGTGCCTGCACTTCGGCACCTCAGTTACCCTGAGAGATTGGAGCGCCTGAACTTGCCAAGCTTATACTACAGATGGGCAAGGTGTGACCTAATTGAGGTGTATAAGCATCTCAAGGGGCACTACTCAGTCAAGTGTCCTTAACTGGAGCTGGAGGACGCTCGCCCCACAAGGGGTCACAGCTCAAGGTTGAAGAAGCCGCAGGTCCAGAAAACTGTGAAGGCAAACTTTTTCGGAGTGAGAATTGTGAACTCTTGGAACAATCTGCCAGAAATTTTTGTGATGCCACCGAGTGTGAGCTCTTACAAGACTAGACTTGACCAACACTGGAGCAGGTTCAGGTACATTTAGGAGCCAATTCATGCCCAGTAGTTGTCAACAGTGCATAACAGAGACGTGACTGATTGCCCAAGTGGCTAACGAGCCAATCAGTGGTGAAGAGTATAAAACAAAAAAACAACGTTCGATCTAGAATGCATAGAATGACAACTTTGTATAAATTTTGGATAATTTTGAGATGCCTGATACGTTGGACATGACTATTTTACGATCGCCAATCATATGTAGTCAGAAATCCAATATTATGGCCACCATTGCTGATCCCCTAAATATTCAAAATAATGAAATGACCTTATATAACTTGGGAACTAGAAGTAGTAGAAATGATGCAATCAATCAAATTAAGTAATACAAGTATTCATCGTTTAGCAATTGTTTACTTAGCGATATTTTGGTTTAGCAATTTAAAATTTTTAACACCCTTTGTTGTTTAATGATCCGCAACTTTGGTTTGTTGATCTTCGACTTACTGGGAAAATTCGGGAGGAAGGAAGCCAGAAAAACTGGAGATTCTTTGCTCTAAATGCATATCATTACAATACAGTACTGTAATTTTTTTCTGGGGATGAAAAAATTCATCTCCATACCCTGAAATTTTTCAAACCCCGAAACTGCTCTGCTAACAGGGTCCATATAGATACCTTTTGTCTGGGAGCAAATGCTCCTGTGACAGCATGGAAGAGAAATATCATGATTGATGCAAATTTTATATCATGCAATATGTATAGTGATCAGATATATAACCTTTTTGGGGCGAATCGAGTCCTTTCATTGGTAAACTGATGTAAGGCATCTTTGTTCAGTCTGGGCATTTTCTTAATACATATACAGTACAGTATAGACTTTACTTCCCAGAAGATGTGCAAATCTTTCCTTCAGGCATTAATGATGATAGGTGTGTGTTATTGTTTTCTCACCTTAAAGCAGTGCTCCATATTTTATAAAGCCATAAATCTCAACCCATGAAGATTTCACCTTACAAAATGTGTGGAGTTCAGACACACTCTGGTGGACACCTTTACACTTACATTTGATGAAAAGTAACAGAAGTTACCTGTAATGCCGAGCTCTGATAGCTGTTGTTGTACAGTACACTGAATGAACACTTAATAATATAATTTAGCAGCTTAAAGCTTAAAAGTTATTATGGAGAATATGTACAATGTCTAAATTGTGGACAACAAATTTTATACACTAAAGAAACAAACACTATATCAACAAAAAATTTATTATTATGTAATTTATCCAACATTTTGAAACACAAGAAAACCATTCACCTTTGTTTTCAAGTGAACTTACACAGTGTGATGAATGTTTATGTACATGATACATGTTTAAGGGAAACTAACTAGCACTCTACTGTTCAGTGTTGGGCAGCAACAGTTGGTCAGCTTAGCTCGGGCACTTCTTCGCAAATCTCGGATTCTGGTGTTGGATGAAGCAACTGCAGCCATCGACTTGGAGACTGATGACCTTATTCAGGCCACAATCCGATCCAAGTTTGCTGACTGTACTGTCCTCACAATTGCCCACCGGCTCAACACCATCATGGATTGTGATAGGTTGGTTTCAGTTCAAGTTGATATTATCAATTGATTCATATAAATTAAAACCTGACAGAATTATTAGATAATTAGGCCAAATATTGAAATTGTGCATTTATATAAATAAATTTAAAAATGAGTACAGTACTTTCATATTACTGTACAGTCATGCGCCGGTTAACGTCCTAGATATGTTCTTGGAAACGTGACATTAACCGAAATAGACGTTGTCCGATCATCACATAAACTTTGTATTTATACTTACGTGTACATGGAATACAGTAGTACCCCGATTTACGCGGTCAATTGAACCCACAGGGTACCGCGGAAAGTGAAAACCGTGTAAAGTGAACAACAGAACATATGGGATTAATTTCAATAGAGACTGGCCCGACCCTCAAACTCCACTTTTTCCGACACAATACCTATGTTGTAGTAAAAATAACATCTAAATTTTATGATGGTATGCTCACACAATTAATATTTAAGAGAAATACAGTCGCCAGGTTAATGTCCATTCAAATAATGGACTCAAATCCCCCCCCCCCCTCTTCCCAGCTCACTAGCTCCTACCTCTCTGATAAATGTTTGGGTGAAAACTCTAGATTTTAACATTTAGTAATAAATAATACCTCAGACTAAAGTTAGGATAATATAATTGACATTTCTGGATTCCTTGCAGGTCAGGGAATATTTTGAATGTAAACTTCATATATTTTGCACAAAAGATAAAATATTTGCTTTGTGTAAACCAAATTATTACATTAGATCTAAAATTTGTATGTCTAATGCAAAATCCATGATGTTTATATTCAAAATGATCATCATATTGTAAGAATTCCAGCAATGTAAATTATATTCTGGTCGAGTAATTTGTATGAATTTTATGAGCTAAAACAAATATCTTCAGTTAATAAAAAAAAAAATATTCTTCACGACACTATCTGTCAATCAAAGTACCCCACCTTGCCTCCCCCCCTCCTCACACTCACGCCAGCTGGGTCGGTCGGTCCCAACCCTCCCCCCCACCTTCCCTCCCTACCAGATAAATGTGTGGGTGAAAACTCTAGATTTTAACGTTTAGTAATAAATAATACCTCAGACTAAAGTTAGGATAATATAATTGACATTTCTGGATTCCTTGCAGGCCAGGGAATATTTTGAATGTAAACTTCATATATTTTGCACAAAAGATAAAATATTTGCTTTGTGTAAACCAAATTATTACTTTAGATCTAAAATTTGTATGTCTAATGCAAAATCCATGATGTTTATATTCAAAATGATCATCATATTGTAAGAATTCCAGCAATGTAAATTATATTCTGGCTGGGTAATTTGTATGAATTTTATGAGCTAAAACAAATATCTTCAGTGAATAAACAAATTATACTTCACCCAGACACTATCTGTCAATCAAAATACCCCACCTCCGGCTTCCCCCCCTCTTCCCACGCTAGCTGGGTCCCTCCATCCCTCCCTACCAGAAAAATGTTTGGGTTAAAACAGTATATTTACATTTTTAGTAATAAATAATACTTCAGACTAAAGTTAGGATAATATAATTGACATTGCTGGCTTCCTTGCAAGACCAGGAATATTTTGAATATAAACGTTATATATTTTGCACAAAAGATAAAATGTTGGCTCTTTGTAATCAAAATTCTTACATTAGATCTATAATTTGTATGTCTAATGCAAATTCCATGATGTTTATATCCAAAATAATCACAATCCTACAAGAATTCCAGCAATACAAATTATATTCTGGGCGGGTAATTTGTATGAATTTTATGAGCTGAAACAAATATCTTCAGTAAATAAACAAATTATACTTCACCCGCGTAAATGAGTAAATTCACCGCCTAAATCGGGCATCCCGGTTCTGGCAAGGCACCGCGTTAATGACCAAACGCGCAAACGAGAACCTCGTAAATCGAGGTATTACTGTACTCTTTTTCAACCTACTCCATCTCCAACTAAATGAAATGTACAATACTAAATTTTCCAGCCTCTATGTTGAGTATAGCAAAGTAATCAAGGTCTGTGTGGTACTTTAATTCATTAGAAGTGTTATTTTTCATGAGTTTATTGTTAGGTTTGTATACTAATTGTTCAGTAGTGTGACCTTTATTATACATCAGTTGGGGATCTATAAGGTATTGATCTCCCCTCAGGGTGATGGTAATGGACAAAGGCAACATAGCAGAGTTCAACACACCAGCTACACTCGTGGCCAAGAAAGACTCCATCTTCTATGGCATGGCAAAGGATGCTGGCCTTGTTTAGATATTACTCATTATTATACACCAAAAATAATTACAACTGAGCTTATACTGATGACAAGAACAGCATATTTGGCATAGTCCAGAAATAACTTGATTTCCATTTAATACAGTACTAAATAAGTTCACACTATCTTCTCACATTCTAAAAAGAAAGTTGACATCCATTTAGAATCACCATTGTTACTTCCGTCCCATTTATCTGGGATGGACCATGTTTATAAAGACTCGTCATAGTTACTGACAGCTTACACACCTAATTCTGAATTGACTGAGGCACTTTAAATGAGGACCAGAATATTCCTAAACCTTATGTTCCTAAGAGACCCAATGCCAACACTACACCACTGATTAATGATTCTGGTTATTACAGTAATACCCCAATTTACGCGGTCAATTGAACCCGCGGAGGTCCGCATAAAACAAGAAACGAGTAAATGGAATAACAGAACATATGGGATTAATTGAAATAGAGACTGGGCCGACTTCCAAACTCCACTTTTTCGGACACAAACCGACACAATACCTATGTTGTAGTAAAAATAACAACTTAGTTTTATGATGGTATGCACACAATTAATATTTGAGAGAAATACAGTCGCTAGGTTAATGTCCACTCAAATAATGGACTCAACTTCCCCCCCCCTCCCCCCCCCTTTCCCACGCTCGATGGCTCCTCCCTCTCTGAGAAATGTTTGCGTGAAAACACTAGATTTTAAGGTATACAGTGGGGTATGCTATAACGAACGGATCCTACTATGAATATTCCTATAACGAACGGTTTTACCTATAAAATTGAGAATGCTATAACGAACGAAACTCCTACAACGAACATTATTTAAAAAAAATTAAAAAAATTTTTTTTTTTTTACTAATTTATTGTTTTTTATTACAACTATTAATGGTATTCTTTATTTCAGGGGTTTAGATGCATATTTATGCACTTTTTTACAATTTTTACAATTTTATATTATGTTTTTCAATGTTAAGTGGTTGTATTTGGGGGCCTGGACCGGATTAATCCTATAACGAACGAATGCTCTTATGAACAAGGTTCTAGAACCAATTAGATTCGTTATAGCATACCCCACAGTAATAAATAATACCTCAGACTAAAGTTAGGATAATATAATTGACATTGCTCTTTTCCTTGCAAGACCAGGAATATTTTGAATGTAAACGTCATATATTTTGCACAAAAGATAACATATTTGCTCTGTGTAAACAAAATTCTTGCATTAGATCTAAAATTTGTATGTCTAATGCAAAATCCATGATGTTTACATTCAAAATGATCATCATATTGTAAGAATTCCAGCAATGTAAATTATATTCTGGCCGGGTAAATTTGTATGAATTTTATGAGCTAAAACAAATATCTTCAGTTAATAAAAAAAAAAAATATTCTGTATATATATATATATATATATATATATATATATATATATATATATATATATATATATATATATATATATATATATATATATATATATATATATATATATATATATATATATATATATATATATATATATATATATATATATATATATATATATATATATATATATATATATATATATATATATATATATATATACAGTACTCCCTCTTTATCGACGGATTTTTATCGACGGTTTCGATTATCGACGGATTATTTAGCCGGATTTTTATTTTGGCACCAAACAGCTTCTCCCAGTCCTCTCCTTGAACAGGGCTAGAGGGTACGTGTTTTTCGAATCGTTTTCAGTTAAAAAATTATTACATCACACGTATATTTTACCTAAACTGCGCCTGAATGAATATATTCTCGGAAATAAATAGTAGTTTTGCTGAAACGTGATGTATTTCAATGTAAAATAGGATAAAATACATGACGGAAACAAAAGACTTTACCTAAGCTTCCGATGTTCTTGAGATGTTACTCGTTTTTTTAATAGTTTTCGGTTAAAATTCTGTTATATTACAATGATATTCTATTCATACTGTGCTTGATATAATACATTCACGGAAATGTAATATTTTTGCTAAAATGACGTACGTATTACAGTGGAAAGTGGGATCAAATCGTGACGAAAAGAATGACTTGCGCTTTCTTTCGTTCAAAAGATGTTACCGTAATCACTTTTCGAATGGTTTAGTTAAAAAACTGTTGTATTGTATTACAATAATATCCTAATTGACTTGAATAAATATTACGATACCATATTTCTGAATATTTTCATTAAAATCCATCAAAATCATTTTCCTTGTCATCGTCTGCAGCACCAAACAGCTCCTCCCAGTCCTCTCCTTGAACAGGGCTAGAGGCTACGTGTTTTTCGAATCGTTTTCAGTTAAAAAATTATTACATCACACGTATATTTTACCTAAACTGCGCCTGAATGAATATATTCTCGGAAATAAATAGTAGTTTTGCTGAAATGTGATGTATTTCAATGTAAAATAGGATAAAATACATGTCGAAAACAAAAGACTTTACCTAAGCTTCCGATGTTCTTGAGATGTTACTCGTTTTTTTTAATAGTTTTCGGTTAAAATTCTGTTATATTACAATGATATTCTATTCATACTGTGCTTGATATAATACATTCACGGAAATGTAATATTTTTGCTGAAATGACGTACGTATTACAGTGGAAAGTGGGATCAAATCGTGACGAAAACAATGACTTTCGCTTTCTTTCGTTCAAAAGATGTTACCGTAATCACTTTTCGAATGGTTTAGTTAAAAACTGTTGTATTACAATAATATTCCCTCCTAATTGACTTGAATAAATACTTGAATGGAAATATACAATATTTTTGTTGAAACTACCCGCGTTTCAGTGTAAAGTGTTGTAATAATAAATGGTAAACAATTTGCCTTGGGCAGCCGGATTTTTGGACTTTTACTGTACTGTACACTGTTTTGTTTACTGTAAGGACCGATGTTCACTTCAATAAATGAAATCGTAAGTTTGCTAGTATTTTTGTCCACTTATTATATTATTATTTATACACTATTATTTAAGGTTATGCGTAAAGGAAAAGCATTAATGCTTAAAGGTACATTTATTCAACATATGCTAATAATAGTTAGAAAAATTACGTAACCATCACGGTATCGACGGTTTCTTTATCGACGGCCGTTTACAGAACGTAACCCCCGTCGATAAAGAGGCTACTAACAACATATGTATATATATATATATATATATATATATATATATATATATATATATATATATATATATATATATATATATATATATATATATATATATATATATATATATATATATATATATATATATATATATATATATATATATATATATATATATATATATATATATATATATATATATATATATATATATATATATATATATATATATATATATATATATATATATATATATATATATATATATATATACACACACTGTGCAGTTGTGCCCGCTTAGCGCGGTCAATTGAACCACAGGAGTGCCGCGTTGAGTGAACAACAGAACATATGGGATTAATTCCAATAGAGACTGGCCCGGCCCCAAGCTCCACTTTGGCGACACACAACTGTGTTGCTTAGTAAAAATATTATCTTAACTTTTATGTTGTGCACACACAATTAATAATTAAGAGAAATATCAATAATATTGGGTTTTAACACTTACGGTAGTAGAAAAGATGGCTGGGCACACGGGGATGGGGGGTTGGTTCCGAGGCAGAGGGCAGATTATTGGCCCTCACCTGTATCACTTGTATCAATTGTATCACTATCCACCACAGAGGCTTGGAAGGCCTCTTTGTCAAACCCCTCTAAGTCCATATCCTCACTATAATTATCACTATCACTGACTTGGGCAGGCTGTGGTGGGTGAAGAACTCGGTAATGTTTTGATGACTTTGTGACCTTGTGCGCATCGTGCCCGCGCCACTTCCGGCGTATATGAGTAGATGAACCGCGTTAAGTGAAAGTTCGGTTCTGGCGAGGCACCGCGTATATGAGAAATCGCGTTAAGTGAAACCGCGTTAAGCGGGGTACAACTGTATATATATATATATTTTTTTTTTTTTTTTTTTTTATCACTTGGCAATTTTTCTATTTAGCAATTACAAATTTTTAGCGCCCTTTCTCATTGAACAATCATCAATTTTGGTTTAGCGATCTTTGACTCATTGGGAAAGATTCAGGAGGAAAGTCGAAAAACTGGGGATTCTGTGCTCCAAGTGCACATCATTACAATACTGTAATGTGGCTTAGAAATAAAGAAAATAGTGTACTGTATACAGTACAGTATTTTATAATTACTAGTATACAGTACAGTACAGGTTGTACCTCTCTAGTCCGGCAACCTCGGGACCTGACCGGTGCCGGACCATGGAAATTGCCGGACCATGGAAATTCACCCTTTTCCTGGATAGATAGTGACTTGTGCTTATGCCTGGAAGCACTAGCACCACTTTCTCTTTGTCATGGTCTCTTTGAAGACATATTGAAGGGTTAAATGTCGTATAGTAGCTTCTCAAATTTCGCGAGTTTTTAATTCTTAACGTATTTTATTGGAACACACAAAAAAATAAATAAATAAAAATTTTGACGGCAAAAAACTTGAATTTCGACGGGTTTGAACGGCCCGCCAACATGCAGACAACGTGCATAATCGTGTAAACAGCGTCATTTCTCTTATGTACAAAAGATTCATTATTGTTTATTACTGAATGTCGTTTTTATTGAATTAATGTTTATGTGTGCAAAATGAGCAATACAATTCATTAATAATACGTAGAATTTTAAAACACATGAGGAAATGACACAGCATTGTTTTTGTTGATTACAAAACCAGTGACTGACTGGTTCTACATGTAAAACTGAAGAAAATAAGACCTTGGTTGTAGCTGTAGTAAAATTAATATGGTTGTTTTAAGTAATGTTATTTAATGTTAATAAATGGAACAATAGAAGTAGCTAACGATAATGGTAAAGAAAAAGAGAGATCGCATATGTAAGTGCGCATGCGCACACTGAAAACATATCGTCATTACTTTGCATAAGAATATGAAAGCAACACTTATTTACTGTTCATATATATTTTAATTAATGTTTCTGAATTTGTTTTTATTGAATTAATGTACGTGTGTGCAAAATTAACAATACAATTTATTAATAATACGTGGAATATTAGAGGAGACGAGACGGCTGCCGGCATTGTTTATGTTAAAGCTTACAAAACCAGTGACTGATTGGTTCTACATATAAAACTGAAGAAAATAAGACCCTGAGTTTAGCTGTAGTAAAATTAATGTAAAAAATGAATATGGTTGCTTGAAGTACCTGTAATGTTATTTAATGTTAATAAATGGAACAATATAAGTAGCTAACCATTAATGGTAAAAAAAAGTGAGACTGCTCGTATGTAAGTGCGCACATGTGAAAATATATCGTCATTACTCTACATAATAATATGAAAGCAACACTTATTTACTGCTCATATATATTGAAGGGTTAAATGTTGTACTCTGTATAGACAAGCAGAGAGAGAGAGAGAGAGCAGCTGAACTG